TTTTTTTTTTTTTTACAGTGTGGTTGGTGTAGATGGTATTTGTTTCCATAATACAGCCCTGTTTCTGTTATAAATACTAAGTCTACAGGAGAAATGAAAGTAAATCCATCACATGAGGGATGGTAAAAACTGTGTATAGGTCTGAGAACACCAAATTTAGGATTTTTACTTTTTTACTGCCAACTGGAATTGAATTTAGGTAAAAGTCTCCAAAACGGTTTCTGTTTTGAACACAGCTTTAGAAGTTGGTACTTTATTAGCCTCATTCTGTATAAAGGAATAAGGAGGAATTGGAAGTACGGTTTTAAGACGCATATAAAAATGAACCTGATTGGACTGTCCATTTGCCATTTGGCCATTTTAATCGATATCCAGGTGTTTCCATGACTGGACTGGAAAACTATTCTCTAAATTTCCAGATTTTACAGGTTTTTTAGGATGTATGGGAACCCTAATTATTTTGTGCAAACCAGCGTTGGTGATTGTTGGAAAGACTAACAAAAGCCGGTTTAGGTGACTTTTATTTTGTTTCAATCCAGTTTGAAGTGTGTTTCAGAATAATCTGTTCAGTAAAATTACTGGTTTTGTCAATGGAGTCGGTCGGCTGTAGTACACATTGTTTTTGTCTTAGATGCTGGTGCTCTAGTGCGACATCTAGTGGCAAGTTAATTAGAAAAGCAGAGCGGTACATGAAACACAGTCATTCTCAAATGTTTTAGGGAACTGTAGGTACCCCTCCAAATAGAAAAAGCTGCCTTACCATGTGCCTGCGCAGAATGGTCTGGCTCTTCATATACTTAAGGCAGAACTCGCACATGTAGAGCCTCCCCAGGCGGGCGTATTCCTCTGGATACGGAGAGTGGTACCAGGTGTCCAGCTCGTAGCGACCGAACACAATGGTCTTTATCATGTTGCTGCCCTCCGACACCTGGCCGGCCAGACGAAGCTTCTCCTGTACAGGCCAGGACGGGAGGGAAAGGGAGATGGGGATAGGTGAAAAGACACAAAGAGGACAAGAAGAGAGGGCGAACGAGCAAGCAGAGGGGAGAGGGGAGAAAGAGGAGAGATCTTAGTTATTCAGGGAAGAGGATCAGTTGAACCAAATATCACACTTAGAAAAACCTCAGTGGAGGCAACCAGCCATGAAAAACAAAAAATACATTAGAAAGTTTAGATGAGGAAGAAATCTTTTGCACTTTTGGTAGCACCGCATTTTCAACATTACTGATTTTAAACTGAATTAAAGACTGAAATTATGTAAACTGAATTTAAGGCTTTGAATTTGGGGCAAGTGAATTTAATATCATTTAAGACAGTGTAAACAAATTTTCATTCTTCACTGATTTTTTTTTTTTATGATATAAAACCATCAATGTGATTTTTTTTTAAAGTGAACCTGATTGAAAACAGCAATACCTTCTCATCTGAATGCATCACAAAGTAACAGAGCACAGAATAACAGGAAGTGATTGTCCAAACTACCAAAAATATCTCAGACTCCTCCTGTGGCTGCAGAGGAGGGTTTGCTGACTGAAACAGAGAAGAAGAGGAGTAACGCAGAAAAGAGGGGGGTACAAAAAAGAAAGGGAAGGAGAGAAGAGTAAGGGAGGGAGGTGATGATGAGTTTTCTCTCTTACAAGGTCGTCCGAGGCACGTGCCTGCGCTTTCCTGAACAGCTCGAGGTCGTAGTCGCTGGTGATGTTCTCCAGCAGCGGCTCCCTGCTTGCTCCGTGGCTCTGACGATGGTCCTGGCAGTGGAGGCGGGAAAGAAGAAAAGCAGAAAAGGCTTTCAAAATATAATACGGGAAGTATGTGCAGGAGGGAGGTTGTGAAATACACACATTCTCACCCACTTACCATGTGTTTTTCCTTCTGCTCCTTGTTGAGGCTGGAGTTCCTCTTCCTCCTCAACTCCGTCACCTTCTCCTTGTAGCGCAGCTGACGATCTGAAGGGGCCTAAGACCACAAAGAGATACATTTTGACACCTTTACCTTTTATGAAGTGATAATAGTAGAGCAAAAAACTATCTTAAATATCTCTAATGATAAAGATGTGAATATGTGTTATGTATATAATATAGATAATGTGTTTCTGAGTAATATTAACCTCTATTTATACTAGTATTGATAGTTTATCACTGCTTGGTAAAATTTAAACAGCAACACAAATGTGAAGGTTCATAATCAATCACTTTCACATCTGTACTGGCATTCCACACCTATACTCGGACCAATTATGTAGTCTGTATATAAATGATTTGCCTTCTGTCTGAGGAGATCCAGCCATATGCTGATGATGCAGTGATTTATACACATGGTTGCACGGACAGCAACCTGCTTCCACACTACTAATGCAATGAGCATTACAGCGTAGCTAAACCAATCGTGTTGTAAAGGTCCAGTGTGTAGGATTAAGTGGTGTCTAGCAGGGTAGTTGCAGACTACAACTCACTTGCTTCACCCCTATCTAGAGCCAGTGTTTGGTTTTGTCTGTTTTGGGCTACTGTAGAAACATGGTTCAACATGGCAGCCTCCATGGAAGGTGACCCATGACATCTGTAAATAAAAACTGATCATGCTAGGGTAACAAAAACACAATGATTCTTATATTCAGGTGATTATAAACTAATGAAAACATACCTTTGAATATATATTCCATTTCTCACAATAGATCCT